TCTCTCTCTCTCTCTCTCTCTCTCTCTCCGCCCGGCCGCCTTTCCGCCCGCCCGCTCGCCCCGCAAGCCCCGGCCTCCCGCCTGTGCGTTCGTCGCCGTCTGCCTGCTTCCCCCCTCCTCTTTCCCCTCCACCGGGCGGCCCAGTCTGCTTGGGGCCAGCGCGGCGGCGCGCATAGGGCTCTAATCTGGTCGCCCGGGGGTAAGAAACGGCTCCCGGGGAGGGGTCGAGGGCTCGCTTTTCCTTCCTCCTCGGCTCTCCGCCCCCCCCCCCTCTTCTTTTCGCAGTGCATCCGGCAACGGTCGCCACCCGTGGGGGGGGTATGGTCGCGGGCGACGGTGACGCTTGAACGGGGTGGGGCGCGCCAGTCCAGGCAGGAGCAGGCGCAGTCGAAGTACCTCAAGAGTTGGGCCACTCGTGTCATGGTGCTGCGCGGGTAGTCTTGCATTGTAGTGTTTGCAGGGCCACCTTGCTGCCGTGCTTTTTGCGTGAGCCACAGCTTGAACACGTCCTTGTGCCTCGAGCACCACCCTCGCCGACACGCCAAGGAGGAGAGCTGTCAACAGCAGCGTCGCCCCGCGGGGGGGCCATGGCGGCAACGTATTGAGAAAGAGCATCCTGGCTTACACCCTAGAAACGCGCTCTAGCCTGCACACGGATGACGTAGTTAACAGGAGTATGGTAAGGGGTGCATCTTCTCTCGAGCCAGAATGAGCTTGAGAGGGAGGCTGGGAGGGAGGGAGGGAGGGAGGGAGGGAGGGAGGGAGAGAAGAGGAAGCGGAGGCAGGGGAAAGGAGGGAGGAAGAGGAGGGGAAGGGAGGAGGAGAGGAGGAGAGGAAGGAGGAGGAGGAGGGGGGAGGGGAGGAGGAGGAGGGAGGGAGGACGGAAGAGGAGGAGGAGAGGAGTGGAGGGGGAGGAGGGGGGAGGAGGAGGAGGAGGACGAGAAGAAGACGAAGAAGAAGACGAAGAGCAAGACGAAACAGACGAACAACAATAATAATAAAACTACTAAGAAGAACAATGATATAATGGAGGAGGAGGAGGAGCAGGAGGAGGAGAGCAAGAGAAGAGGCAGCATGTGTTGGAAAGTGGGGACGCTGCAAGTGGAGCAGAGGATGAGGGATCACGAGAGAGGAAACGGGGGAGAATGAGGAGAGGAGGGAGGCGGCGAGGAAGGAGGAGACAAGACGAGGTGCGAGGCGGACGAACAGCGAGCACGCGCACGAGCTGCAGCAAGGGGCGGGAGGGAGGGAGGAGGGGGAGGAAGAGGACGAGGAGGGAGGGACGCAGCAGCAGCAGCAGCAGCAGCAGCACAAGGAGGAGCAGGAGCAGGGCGGGGGAGGCGCGCGGGAGCGCCGCCAGCGGCAGCCCGCCGCGATTGGCCCGGCACCCCCGGCCGCCCGCCCCGACGCCCTCCCGGCCCAGGGCGGCGGCCTGCCGCGCGCGCAGCGCCGACAGCGGCATGGCGGCCCGCCGATGACGGCCGATGGCGTCCCGCCGGCCGCCGCCGCAGCGGGCGACGAGGGGCAGCGGTTGAGTCGGGCGTGTCCCCCTACAGGAGGAACATCCAAAAACAGTTGAGAAATAGTCTGGGGACGATTATATTCCAGTGATTCTGATCCTGTCTTGTGATGTTCTAACTGTTGCTAATTTTTCTCACAGAATCCGCCTGTAGGGGGACATGCCCGACCGAAGGCAGCGGACAGGGGGGGCTCGACGGCTCGAGTGCCTCTCTCGTCGGTCTCTCGGTGGCTCTCCGGCCCTGGGGTGCTCTGCAGCCGCGGCGCCTCGCCGAGAGCTCTCCGGGGGTGCCCGCATTGTCCTGGGCGGGGCCGAGTTGTGAGCCGAGAGCCAGGGGGAAACGTTCGGGGGGGTCGGGCCGGACGAAAGGGGGGGATTGGGAAAGGGGGGATTACGAAATCTGCTGCATGCAGCTGGTTCCGGCCCCACCGAGGGGCCCATTTCTCGATACATGGGCGCCTCCCGGCGCCGGGAGGCGCCAGGAAAATCAGCTACATTAGCTGATTCTCACCCCCCCCCTTTGCTGTCCCCCCCTTACGCCCGGCCCGAGGGGGGACAGGCACAGGGGGAGATACATCGAACCCAATCGCCCACTGATCGCCGATGGGTGCCCGAATCCATCGGCGACGTACTGCCGATGCCGTGTCGAGGTGTCCCCCCTGGAGCCGGTCCCCCCTGTCGTTGAGTCGGGCATGTCCCTCTACAGGGGGAATATCCAAAAATAGCAAAAATGATTCTGGGACCTCTTTTGTTGATTTCTTCTGGCTCTTCGGGAATCTGTCTGACTGTTTCTGAGCTTTCTTCCAAAATCCGCCTGCAGGAGGACATGCAGGCGCGAAATACAAACACACACACAGACACAATTCATCGTCGACCCCCCAGAAAATATGGAAGTGGGGGGGGAAGGCAAAAGCCCAGAACGTGTGGGAAAGGATTGGTAACCCTGCGATTTGTGATTATTTATCTGTGTGTCCCTGGGCCCCTTGAGGACATGCCCAACCGAGCCCTACCGTTGCCCCCTCCAGGTGAGCCTGCCGCTGGTCCTCAGCGGCGCGGCCACGCCCGGCCTGCAGGCCACGGGTAGCCCTTCCAAGAGATCCCGGGGCCGAGGAGGGAACGCTTCTTGAGCGGCAGAGGAGGAGGAGGAGGAGGAGGAGGAGGAGAAGGAGGGAGAAGGTGGGAAGGAGGAGGCGGAGGAGAGGAGGAGGAGGAGGAGGAGGGGGGGAGGGGGGAGGGGGAGGGGGGGGAAGGGGAGAGGGAGTAGGAGGAGGAGGTGGAGGAGGAGGAATGGGAGCAGGAGGAGAGGAGGAAGGGGAGGAGGAGGCGAGAGGAGAGGCGGGGGGGAGTGGGAGGGGGGGCGGAGGGGGGAGCAGGAAGGGAAGGCGGCGGAGGGGTCGAGGAGGAGGGCATGAACTTTCGGCGCTCCGCGCGGATTTCTTGAATCTGCGCTGGGCCCCCCGGGCGGCGCCTCCAGCGCCGCCCCGGGCGCGCTTCGCACACCAGGGAGGGGGGGCTTCAGCGCCGGCGCTCCGCGCAACAGGGAGGGGGGGCCTCAGCGCGGACGCAAGAGAATCCGCGCGGAGCGCCGAAATATTACGTAGGTCGATGCCGTTCCCTGTTTCCCTTTGTGAGCGGCGCTCTGCATGCAGGTGCCGGGCGGTCCCCGAGATCCTGGGGGGCGGCGGCGATCTGGGCCTCCCGGGTTTGAGGAAGCGCAGACATGGACTGGGGCGTGTGTCAGGTTACCTACAGGAGGAGGTACCGATGCCGCTGCCCGTGGTTCGTTGTCGCCTTCTTCAACCTCCAGGTTGGATTCGCCTTGAAGATCTGGCCAGACCGCACCCCAGGAGAGGTCCGGCCTGGGGAGTAGGAGGGGGAGGGGGAGGGGGAGGGGGAGGTGGAGGAGGGGGAGGAGGAGGAGGAGGAGGAGGAGGAGGAGGAGGAGGAGGAGGTGAGGAGGAGGTGGTTTCCCCAGTGCAGATTACAGCGACGGGCCCCGTTCCTGGGCTTCCTCGGCGCGCTGCGCCGCCGGATCGGGCGGCAGTGGCGCCTCGTTTTGGGGGTAATTATGCCTTCCCCGATGCACGCGGGTCTGGCGCCATCGCGCCAGGTCCACGGATCCTCAATCCATGGCAGCGTGTGCCGAACAGGTTCGGCTTCGGCACCGCCTGTATCCGAGGCTATGCCTCCTCTCGGCCTCGCTCCGAGGCTCCGCCGCTTCCTCCCTCCTCTTCTCTGCCTAATTCAAGCGTCGCGCGGCCCGCTCAGCTTCGACCGGAAGAGGTGCGCTCTCGACCCGCGGATCAAAAAAGTGCCCAACAGGTGGGGTCGGAGGCTCGAGCCGCATCGCCGACGTCGTCGATGCATCGCCGACGTCGTCGCTGAGCCCCCACCGGCGGCGCCTCCGGCGCCGCCCCCGGCGCGCTCCGCGCGCCAAGGAGGGGGGTCCAGCACAGATCCAAGAAATCCGCGCGGAGCATCGAAAGTTCATGTTTATGCCAATTCTTCTTTTAAACAAAGCACAGCAATAATAGAGGCCTTCCAGAAAGAAACTTTCTAAAGCATCCGCATGCCAGGGAACGACATGGCGAGGACAGTCAAGGAATCTCAATGACGACGACGCGCAGATCCTAGAGATCCGCGCGGAGCGCCAAAAAGTTTATGCTCATGCCGTTCTTTCTTCTACGGAGTGCTCGTGGTTGCGCACGGGCAGCCCCCAGGGGCAGTCGGCCGCAGGTGTATAGATATGGAGCGGCGTCGCTACCCCAGCGCTCGTGGTGTTGAGGCCGCCGCACTGTGATGGGCCGAGTTTCCACCACCGCTACCGTAGATAGGAGAGGGAGGAGGAGGAGGAGGAGGAGCAGGATGAGGAGGACCCGCCCATCCTCCTTCTCCCCCGTCCTACATGTGTTAGTGGTGGTGGTGGAAAGTTGGCCCATCATCCTGCGGTATTCTGAGGGCTTGATAGTCGCCACCCACCAAAACACCCAAACCGTACCCAGAGGTCCCAATTTGCCTTCAATTCCCAGTGGGGGGGGAGTCGGGGAACATTCAAACAAATTCG